CACACTTTTTATATGATGGCCAGTCCATATCAAATCAGATCAAGTTTTATTTATATAGCACATTTTTCAACGATTTTTGGTCGAGCCAAAGTGCTGTATATACAGTATAATACAAAAATAACCTACAGTAAAGACACTTTAAAGCAAATACAACAGCACAGTTTGTGCAGAATATCAGTATGAGAAAACGACACCCTCTGTCCTTATATGTTTCTGTTTTGGTGGTCGTGCCACAACCGTGCATGTATGCACAAGTCATAGGTGCACTATACAATAGCACTACACCCCTGCAATGTGTGTGAAAGACAATAGACTTTACAGCATGTTTTTTTAAATTGAAGTTGGTGTTTGTGTGTTGGTTGTTGACGGCAGTGTGTGCCCCCCCTTGGTAAATGATTGCCCCCCCATTCAAGTTGTTCTAGAGCCGACCCTGGGTACGCAGTACCGGCACTTCTGGTTCTGACCCATGGAGTACCGGCACTTCTTGCTCAGTACCGGCATGCTGGCGGTACTCCGGTACTCATGCACCGTGCCAGTACTCAACACTCTCCCGCCGTTCTTATTATACATCCATATATATATATACAGCCGCCCGGTACTCAGTAGATGCGTCATGAGGTGCCGAACGGACATTCTCATCGCTCTAACCGCTGGAGTTTCACAGCGGCTGTCAGCTGTTTACTCCTGTCATTCAAACAGAACGTGCTGGAGAGGGGGCGGGGCTTATCTTCTCCATGTAAATACTGTGGTGGAAACGACTATGTCAAAATTAACCTATTTGACCGTGATTTAATAGTAATACACGTTTCAAAATAATAATAATAATAATGCCGAAGTAACAACATACTGAAAACTGTTAGTAAAACCATGTTTTAATGCTTTACAATTTACATACCTAGATGCACGTGTGTTGTGTTTATGCAGTGCAACTCCCACCCAGTGGGTGGCTATGTAGAGTGATAGAACAGAGCAGGCACGCCCCCGAGAGAAGGAAAGCAAGTCACGTCACAAATTAGCATTTCTAAAATGTTAGCGTGGATTAATAAAAGTGCAAAAAGACAGCGGTTGTCGCCGGAAGAAAACTTCAAATACAGAGAATGCTGTGCCTGTGTTGGAAATTGTGTCTGATGGGGAGCTTTCTTTGGTTGATCCTCCTGCTCCAAGTTCTAGTGCATTAGCATTAGCACTAGCTCCGCCGCCTCCTCCAGAGCCTCTAACGTTAGCTGCTGCTGGCTCAACTGCCACCACCAACACCGGGCAAAGCGATGCACCTGACTGCTGGACAACGGACCAGGTGCAATATTTTTGCAAGACCAATGCATGGCTCATTCTTAAAGATAAGAAGCTAGGATGTCGGATATGCAGAGATGTCAAATCTTTGGGAATACACACTGGACAAGGACTGAAACTGTCAACTGAATGGGGTGAGTGTGCAGTGTCTCATTTCGGTGTTGACAAGGGCAAACAACAAGCTAGCCTGAGAAAAAAAATCAAAGAACATAAAGAATCACAAGCCCATGTAAAAGCTGCTGACATCCTTACATCTGCTTCACGTGAAACTATTCAACATCAAGTGCAGTCTATGCATAAATCTGAATTAGACACCACTATCAGAGTTTTTCGAACGGAAAAACAGACATGCCAATTGATTTGAATGTACAGAAACTGAATGGGCTGAACGTGGGCAGGGTTTTGCACTCCAATAAAACCTGTGGCGAAATCATCGACCACATAGCTCATGAGCTGAAGAAAAAAATGGCAAAAGACATTACAGAAAAGCAAAGAAAACTCTGTGTTTTGGTCGATGAATCTACCACTATTAGTGGTAAAACGGTGCTTGTTGTGTGTCTACGCTCAGCATTAGCTGATGCTGAGCCCGAAACGTTTTTTTGGGAGCTGATCGAGTTGGATGGAACAACGGCTGATGACATCATAAAGGCGTTAATGGAGTGTCTTGGAAGAGATTTTAACGAGGACTTTTTAGGTCAGTGTTTCGTTTCTTTTGCATGTGATGGGGCTTCAGTCATGCTAGGGAAGAGAACAGGTGTTGCTACCCAGTTGTGTAGTAAATTCCCAAGCCTGTTTGTGTGGCACTGCTCCAATCATCGTCTAGAGCTGGCAGTTGGGGATGTGGTCAAGGAGGTCTCAGGGCTCAATCATTTCCAGATCTTTTTTGACAAACTCTATTCCTTGTTCCATGCCTCCCCCAAAAATCAGAGGCAGTTAGCGCAGTGTGCGCAAGCAGTCGGACAGCGTCTCCTGGTGATAGGGCGTGTTTTGTCCATCCGCTGGGTGGCTTCAAGTGAAAGGAGCGTCAGAGCAGTCTGGGAAAACTACCGAGTGCTTCATGATCACTTCACAAATGCTGCAAACGACACGAGCAGGGATTCTAGAGACAGAGCAAAGTACAAGGGCCTGGATGATGTGCTCACATCTGCAACGTTTGTCAGCAATCTGGGACTGATGTACGATGCGCTCACAGAGCTCAGCGACCTCTCTCGGCAACTCCAAAAAAGAGAGATGACACTGCCTACAGCAGATAGGCTCTTAACTCGAGAAATACGAGTTTTTGAATCCATGGTCACCATGCCTGGCCCACACATGACTACAGTTCATACAGCTCTAGCTGAGAAGTCCTTCAAGGGTGTTGCCCTGCGTGAGAATGGCAGGCTTGTACAGATTCATACAGGTCAGTTTTTCCGCAGTATGGTAGAGAATCTGAGACACAGAATGACTTCCACAACCTCCTCTCATGTCAGCACAAGAGAAATCCCATTACATGGCCGGGAGGCCCGGGACAATCAGCTAATCCAGGACATGAAAGTTATCCATCCTGGAAGTTGGCCTGAAGAGGAGTTAGACGTACAGTATGGGGACGTAGAGGTGCTACGTTTGTGCGAAGTGCTGAAAGTGGACAGAAGAGAGACTGTTCAGGGCTTTCGCGAATACAAGGAAACCAGGGCATCCCGTACACCTGCTGCCATGGAGCCTCTACTGAAAGCAGTCCGAACCATCGCTGTCTCCACTAGTGAGTGTGAGCGGGCATTCAGCTGCATGAATGATATCCTTACTGCAAAAAGGAATGCTCTCTCTGTCAGCCGACTGTCCAGCCTGGTTTTCATTAAATGTAATGGACCATCACTAGGACAGTTCAATCCGGAACAGTATGTGAGGTCCTGGCTGGCAAAGGGAAGGAGAAGTGCTGATGAAAGAGCCTGTCCAGCTCCAGCCCCTGATACTGATGTCCCCAAGGCCTTCTGGAGCCTTTTCTAACAATGTGAAGTATATTGCAAAGCAGCTCACCCAGTGAGAAGACTTTTGGCATAATGTGCCGATTTGTACAGATCCTGGAGATAGAAGGACTTCAGACCAACCAGGGAGTTATCTGATCAGCTTGGTGTTCAATGTAACTCTTTACCATGGCTCAGACTTTGTTACTTGCAGTTACAGTTTCTCATTTTAGATTGTGCAAATTTTGCATTTGTTTTTACATGTTCTTTGTTCATGCTCTTTATCATTTTTCTGAGTTGGAAAGTTAGATTGCATCATAGTTTACTTTATACATATTTGTATTCTTCAGTGGTGAAGTATATTGCAAAGCAGCTCAGCCATGTGAGAAGACTTTTGGCACTTTTTCGTTTTTCGTTTTCTGAGTTGGAAAGTTAGATTGCATTCAAAATGTACAGAAATACTTAATTTTGTTAAAGCTTTTTATAAAAAATGCTTCTGACCAGAGCTTTGTTTCCTTGTCATTAATGTTGAACACCACCAGAGGGGCTCTCACCTGAAAGGTCTCTGCTTCATGTGTCTTCAGCAGAAGATCTAGACTTTGATTGCTATATTTTCAGTTAATATTGACCTTACTGAGCTTTAGCCATATCCGCTGCCTATCATAAAAAATGTTAAGTACAGTGAACCTTTCTAAAATATACAGTAGTAAAGAGACAAACCCACCAGCATTATAGTAGCCAAATTCTTGTTTGTGGGCTGTATATATAAAATTGACTTGAAAAAGTTGCTGATTTTAGAGTACTGGCACCTTTTTCATTCCAATTCAAGCACTGCACGTACCCCCTACAGTTCCCTCGCGTACCACTAGGGGTACGCGTACCCCCGGTTGGGAAACACTGAGATAGGCTATATGAAGAAGTTAAACTTTAAACATCCATGACTTAAACACTTTATCCAGGATAAAAGTCACATAGCTGCACCTGCAAGGTGAATACAGCTGGTTAAATAAAAAGTGTTTGAATGCATACATTAACAGGTTTATGATATCACTGCCCCGTCTAAAACACGAGTGGATCTGACTTTAATTACATTTGTCTCGAGTGTTTCGTCAACTTAATGTGTTGCTTAAAATAATACTTCTGCATACAGTATGTGACACTGTGAGTGTTGCACGGCCAGATACGGCTCAGCTGACTCAGATCAGGAGATATATGATACATTATGAAGTGATATGCCGCGGACTGTAGGCCTACTTAATGTTACTCTGATCCGGTTACTTATGTTGTGGCAGATATTTAAGTAAGCTTTCTTAACGCTAATGTTATAATAGTCAGATTGCTCTGAAGATGGGAGGTGATATTCTATTAATGTTCACGTTCACACAGTCGGTGATTTTTGCCGGCCGTCTTTCCTGCAACGGCAGCTTTTCTGTATTTCCTTTCTCCTGTAATATGACTTGATCGCTTTAAACTCCGCACACTGAGCTCTGATTGGTCAGCAGGCAGTGCTTTCACTGAGTTGAGCTCTTAGCCTGCAACCTAACCTGGTCCCGACCAGGTTAGCCGCTAAGCATAAGTTACCATGGAGATCTAGCCTGCTAAAAAGAGAACCAGCTTCGTAGGACCGGAAAGCCGGAGTTTTCCCTGAATTTAGCCGGCTAAGCGAAAATGTTGCTTCGTAGTATACTGTCAATAAACAATAGCAATGACTTCTGCAAATATACAGTGACAAACATACAGAGGAATAAGAATACTTAAATATGATATATATATATATATATATATTTGTATTTATTTAATACCTTACATAAGGCTAAAGGTAAACATGAGCAGTGCAATACGTCCCGTTAGGTTGGAGATAAATATAACACAAAACACTGATACCAGTGATATGAAGTTATAATTTAATCAGTCAATCCAAAAAAAACACTCAAAATAAACTTCCGCAGTTCACATTTTGCGAGAGGTTAATGCAGGTCAGTGTGCAGTATTAAAATGCCCCCGACAGGGGGCTTCAGTGGAATGATGAAAGGGGAATTCACTGATCCACATTATCAGCAGCTTTGCAGATCTAGGACATTCTCCAGTGACTTTTTTTCCCACCAAGGATGGCTTTAAAGCTCTTTAAAATGCTCCGTTCTCCGTGTCTCTCTTTGAATGGGAAAGTATGTTAATCTTCTGCAGCAAAATACAGGAAAAGAAGGAGCTATGTGCTTCCTTTACTGAATTTAAATGGTACATTCAAGATTAACAAATAGTAGGTGGAAGATACACCCGCCAAGATGTGTGGGTAAGCTTTACCATCTGTTGTGTTCTACAAGCTGTAAATGGACATTTAAGAGGCATGTTTAGCACTGGAATTGGCCGTAACACATTTGACCGCGCAGGGAGAGAAACAGGAAAAGGAACATAGGGCTCTCTTAAAAGTAGCAACGTCAAAGCTTTAAAAGTACAAAGCCCATCATTTACAATCCATTTATTACTCTGATTGCAAATGATAGTAAATATGGCCAGGTTACTATGCACTGCAACAGTGACAAATAAATACAAATAATAATAATTACCATGAATAAATTATAACAAGTGCTAAAATAGGAAAAGTGCAATGTTTGACAAAAGCAAAGGGAGGGTTCTCAAATAGCTTAATTAACCCCAACTTATTCACATCGAGCTTACCTGTTCTGAGGTAACTTCATACATTTTGCTAAAATAAAAACAGCTCAATATTATATCAAATTAGCAAGAAACTAACAAAGCAATGATCACAAAGAAGCTTAACAGCTCAGTGTGGTCTATTAGAGAAAACAGGTTCTTACTTTATCAAGACATTAAAACTCTGTTGCATCGCAAATTGCTAAATGATTGAGATGGTTTCTAGCCGTTAACTGTTAGCAAACATGCAGTTTTTTTAAGAACGGCACTTTAGCTTAAAATGTTACATATAATACATAAAAAAACATCTGCTTGTTAGATCAGTGTGTTGCAATGTGTCTCAGTGAGGAAATACTCCATGGGGTGCCGCTGGTGACGGTGTAGAAGCCCAGGGTGGTTACTATTCTAAAGCTGCTTCAATGTCAGCTGTATGTTTAACTAAGCATCTTGTGACGGTCAAAAACTGTCTTGCGCTGTTCCTGGACCTGCTTTTTCCAGCGTTGCTGTGCTCCCTCAACCCGCTCCAGCACTGTGTTTCCTTTGGCCTGGGCACTGTCCACCGGGGGACGCATCTCCTGAACACACCACCACAGAAACAAAGAGAATTCATAAAAAAACATTCCCAATCAACAGAAATTAAAAAAGGCATGTGTCTGGTCACATAAGACAAGATAACATAAGATAGTACTTTATTGATCCCAATTTGGGATTGCAGCAGCATAAAAAACATGGCATTGTACCATACCAATGAGAAAGACTAGAAATAAACAAAAAAGTAGAAAATATACATGTTGAATTTTCAAATGAACAATAACAAAATATAAAGCATGTTATTATATACATAAGTATGTGAGGGATGGAATATTAAGCAATAAACTGAAAATGTACAGTGTGATTTTAAGTCCAAGAGAAGCTATGGAGCAGAGAGTTCTCATGTGTTGTTTGTTATGATATTTTGTAGTTATAATTACCTCAGAGTCCTCCTCGTTGTGCAGTGGCTGGGTGTAGGCGTCATGTTTGCGAATAAGAGGATCGACCAACAGAAGGAACAGCATGTAGAGCAGCAGAGCACCCACCACAGACAGGTAAATGATGATGGTTACCTGGGACAGACAGAATGGAAACCATTTACATTTAATTTGAAGTGAAAATGCTGGCATCAATTCCTAACAACAATGCTTTGTGCTTGTCTCCTATAGAGCTTTGCAGTTTAATCTTATTATCTGTATAACTTATCAATTATTGTGACAACCCAGCTGTTTGTTTGATGTAAAATAATTTCATCATAATATGTAAACTCTGTAATCAAAGACGTTATTGCACACTGTTTCCAAAAGTAAGAGTAACCCCCCCTGTAGTAAGCCGCTGGTACCTTGATGGTGTTGCTGCTTCGTTCCTCGTACTTGCACTCACACAACAGGCAGTACGCCTCCACGTCATGGCCAGGCACCGGCATGGGCTCCACTACATGGAGGCAGTTACTGTAAAAAAACAAAAGACGGAGTCAAGATGGATGGATTATCTCTATTCATGCAAACACAGGCAAAACACAAGATGACTGAAAGTCTAAATAACAAGTTTCTCTCACCAATCCTTCTGAGACACATTTCTGTTATATATGTGGCCAGTGATGTTCCGGTATGGCGGGCAGATGCACTTGCAACGGACATCCTCAAAGTTCTGTAATTGTAAAGAAAATTGGTTTAGACTGGGCCGGGCCCAACTACTTGCTTTCATTTTAAAGCTCACTTACCTGTTTTACCCATACCATCAGCTCTTTTTTCCCCAAAACAAAACGTTGTAAAAGTTCCTCTATCTCAAGCTTGAAAAGCACAATACATGCTAAAATGCTGCTCAAATGTATAACATCTTTACGCTTTACAAAGTCATACATGTGTGATGTACTTAAGAGTAGTAATATTCTTAGTTTCTTGCTATTAACTTGTTATGTGTATGTAAATTATGTTTAATGAAAAAATAAACAAGAAAATATTAGACAAGGCTTTACATTAACATACATGACAGTTAAAAAGATTAAATTAAACACTTACAAAAGTGCTATTCTTCTCTCTAGATGTTTACCTTGCAAATCCATTTAAATGCACTTGTTAGACTCTTTCACAGAGGTTTAATAGGTTAGTTGACACCAAAAGGCAAAAAAGGACACATTGTTCTACAAACAGATATAAATTACTCTAGTGAGTTTCTGAAAGTATCTATTATTAAGGAACTGCAGGATTTACCTTGGCCTGAACATAAGCAACAGCATCCAGCAGGAAGAAGGTCAGTACTGCGGGCACCACGAAGGTGCTGCTCCCTCCCCGGCCGGTCCACATCTCCTCCCCGCTGCAGATCACCTGCAGCAGCTCTGTCAACACACACAGTGCAAGCATTTAGCTAGACAACCTAGCATGACAATCTGCGACAAAACACCAACTTCACTGCAGTGACAATCAAGCTGAAGACAAGCTTATTATGACACAAAACTAGAAATACATTTAATTTACGTTGTAAAAGTAGCTGGAGATGGATTTGTTGCTATGCATACACGTAGCTACGCACTAGATATTTTGTATTTAGAATAAATAAATGGTCTTCCTTATTCCGGTGTGTTGTCATAGGTGACGCAAAATAAAACCTGAAGCGACACTGGCCTCTACCGGACACTACCGATATACACATTTAGGCCAGAGTTAAATATTGTAGATTTACTAACATCACAGAGGTGGAAGAAGTACTCATATCTTGTACTTGTACAAGTAGAATTACCACAGTGTAGGGATACTCTGTTACAAGTAAAAGTCCTGCAATGCGCAAAAGTTACTCAAGTAAGAGTACAAAAGTACGAACATCAAAATATACCAAAAGTAAAAATACCCATTATGCAGAATGGCCCATTCAAGAATAATATATGTTATATGTTTTGATTATGATTTTTGATGCATTAATGTGTTTATCACAGCTGGTAAAGGTGGAGCTAATTACTTTGTATACTGCAGGGTGGCTTGTTGATTTACTCTAGGTGTGACTAACGTCTTATTTAAGTGTTGTCTATCATTTGAATTAATGATCCAAATCTGCGAGGTAACTAAAGAGATTTAATTAATGTAGGGGAGTAAAATTACACTATGTTCCTCTGAATTGTGGTGGGGTAGAAGTGGCAAACATTTAAATACTCAAGTAAGCACTGGTATTTCAAAATTGTAGTCAAGGTTCTTTATTTTGTCATACGAACATATCTAAGTGTAGTTATGCCGATGAAAATCTTAGGTCACAGGCTTCTCCAACAGTGCAACACAATAACACAGATAAACAGAAAAATGTAGTGCAAGTAAATAGTAAATACAAAAAGAAAAATAGTTTAAAAAAGGGAAATTGTGAAATAGTGCAATAAGAGTCTATATGCAAGTTATTGGAATTATATATTAGAGAAATAGATACATAATTACTAGGTAGCAGATTAATGTTACGGATGTTGTTTCAACAGTTCAGGTGTTTAATAGTCTTATTGCCTGTGGTATGAAACTGTCCGTCACTGAGTCCGGTGGTTTTTAGTCCGGATGCTGCGGTAGCGCCTGCCAGACGGCAGCAGACAGAACAGTTTGTGGCTGGGGTGATGGGGGTCTTTTATAATCCCGAGGGCTTTCCTCCTGAGCCGCTGGGAGTAAAGCCAAAGGTCCTCCATGGATGGCAGCTCCGTCCTGGTGATGTTCTGTGCCGTTTTCACCACCCTCTGTAAAACCTTACGATTGAGGGCGGTGCAGCTGCCGTACCAGGCCGTGATGCAGCCAGTCAGGATACTCTCTATGGTGCACCTGTAGAAGTGGCAGAGTATCCTGGAGTCCATTTTGAACCTCCTCAGCCTGCTACTTACAGTACAGTCAATTTACATAGATACTTTACACCACTGGTCACAGTTATAGTTTTGTTTTTTACAAGCCAACTTTACTTTTTTTTCCATTAGTGGTGGAAAAGGTAGGCTACTCAGATCCTTCACTTAATTAAAAGTAGAAAAGAAGATAAACTTAAAAATAAACCAAACAAGTCTTGTCTCATCACAAGTAAAAGTATTGAATTAAAAAATGTTACCCGAGTAAAAGTATAGAAGTTTTAGCAGCAATATGTACATTAAATATCAGTGGCCAAATTACAAGGTCTTTAGAGCTATAAGGCTACTGTGTACATTAGAAGAAGCCCATACTGCATTATATTTGACGTTGTTTTTATGTAAAGTGTAACCTTTATGTGTAAGTGTTACATAAAAAATACTGTAGAAGTAGCAACAATTGGGATTACTCAAATAAAGAATCTTTGAGTATCTCAAAGTTTTACTAAAGTACAGGGCTTGAGTAAATGCACTTTTACATTCCCCCACTGTGCAATATGGCCACAAACTGATCATTATTTAATATCATGTATTTAATATAATGTTGTTTAGTCACATTTATGATAACACAACATTAATACTCTATGGTGTATTAAACACAGGTCCAGGGAAAGTGTGACTCATCGCAATATTTTCCCATATCTTTCACTCATCTCTGTTTTCATGTCAAATCATGTCTCCCTGGTGGAATCTGAAATGTAAGCCCAAGCTTCTTGACCCAATCAATATCTCTATTTCCTGCTAATCCTGCGTTCACATCTCTCTGTATAGTAAGATACTCATACCTTTAATAAGCCATAGAAATCAATGGCTTACAAATTCATTCTGAACCACTTGAGTGTGTGGTCACAGAGATCAATGGAGACCATGTTTATTTCTTTAATGAGCTATGATATCAGTGTGAACAGCGCAACCCCATCCTCCGTGCAACCTCAATCATGCATCTGACCTTTGATTCAACCATTTAAAACAACTGCAATGCTTTACTGTGTATATAGAACAGGGTTATTGGGATTTCAAGTTTACAAAAGGCTGTGAACAGACATTTAAGGTCTAAAAAAGGTTTGTTAATGGAAACAACTATCACTGAAATTCACCCAGGTGATACAGTATGTGACAAAATGTGAGCTGATATGTCCACCTTTTCATAAAAGCATGATCTTTGTAAGCTTGTACAGTTTTGGGTCCTTGGCATTTTAAAGTTTCACGCATTTTTTAATCACATCACCTGGACTGAGGCTACATAAGCTACTTATATCAAACACAATCAGAACTTGGCCAGAGAATATCCATAATTTATATCAGAAGAAGAGGCTTTGAATCGGTTTATTTTCTTATAGTTTACTGTAAAATAAATGTGGTACCAAGCTTACATGAAGGATCTTACAGTTTCAACTGTCAAATATATAATTTGTATTGATGAACAACATAGGATCTGCCAAATGTGCACATATTAAAAAGAAAAACCTGAACATTAGCTGAACTCTTAGTATCGTACTATGAGGAACACGTTACTGAAAACCCTTAACAAACACATTGTTTGTGCACAAGCCTAAACAAATAAATGACATACTCAAAACATAATGGTCACTGTTCTTTCATGCATTCAATGATGCATGCATTTATTCATCTCTTTAATAATGACCGTATCTTCTTGAAGCCATAAAGCATGTTGTATCACAAACAAGCTCATAAGATCTCTTCAGTTAGTTACTAATGCGAGCCCTTTACTTGTATTCCATTTTCTCAGTCCTGTCATTGTTAGCCACTAAGTTCTCCGTCCTCTCTGATGCATGGCTGCCCTTTACACCCTTAGGCCAATTACAGCATAAATGACAGTGACAGGTCTTATTATCGTTTCAGAGCTAAAGACGAAGAGGAAAAAAGGTGACTCATTTTCCTTTATAGGTAGATGTAAAAAACATTTTCATTTGAGAAAGAAAATAAATCTAGTTACATTGTGTAAAATAGTTAATCAGCTCGAAACAAAGCTGTAATAGATGCAGACAGATACAAATGTTTTGATAAACTATATGAGTTGTGGGCTGCTTACACAACCAGAGTATAAAACAGCAAAGAAAATGATCCATAATGGAAATACTGCAGAGAAATCCAGCCATGTCAAGTTGTCTTATTTGTCAAGGTAGTCTCTCGGTTATTGACTGAAATCACATTATTCAAGGCATTCATTTCATGGGAATGAAAACAGTGGGCCGTTTGCCCACTAGGAGATGCTATAAGGCCCAAGGCAAAGCAAACCTAATCCAAACTAGCACACTGTAATATTTGATTGTATTTTTGCAGTAAATTAGTTAAATTATGTTACTGCAATTACCCATTTACAATACCTTTACTGTAATGATTGTTTTAAGGTAAAACAGCTTCACAGCAAGAGTGATTTACTGTTATTGTAGTTGTGGTTTACAGTATGATACTATTCCTATGTATGATACCGGTTTTGATTTATAGTATGATTCTGTAATTGTTTTAAAAGCGGTATTAGTGTGATTAGAGATTAAAAGAGTCTTTTTTTGTTGGCAACATATTGTAATAGTGAACTTAATGAAGGGAGGAGTATTTAGTTGGTTCCGATCTAATGTGTGGTGCCACTAAATCTGGGTTTTTAGCAGCCTTCAGGGAGTGTTGGTAACTTTTATCTCACCAAGCCAGAAACGTTGTAGGTTAAAGTACTCATCATTGATTATTTAAAATAGAAGAATGACAAATGGCTAACAAATATTGAAGAGAAATACATCATGACGAGTACAAAGGCTACTCTAAATGTAGAATATTTCAAATGATTCACAAAACAACACAAAACGATATTGAACATGTTGCGAAATCTACAGGTGGAGTTACATGAAGAGCACAAAAAACAAAATCATAATTATAAGCTAAATGCATTAATGGCCGGTCTGAAGAATTACAGAACACTAAGAGGCTGAACAGCTTTGTTGTTGATCTATACTGCAGTTTAAATTGTTTGTGGATACTAAAAGAAGATACCTGTGTCTGTCCTTATTCTCTCACTTTCAATACAGCCCTCAACCTTTCAGTATTGTTCTTTGTGACCTTTATCACATCATCTGCAGTACCTTTTTGCTCTACACCCTTCCTCTGTGTCTTGTTTTCGTAGAGAACGCTGTTTGAATAACAAGACAATCTCGGTTAAGTGTAAACTCTCCTCTCCTCGCCTCTCGGCCGATGTGATGCATTGTGGGCAGCAGGACTATTCTAATAGACACACATGGTAATTACAGTAGTGGGAAGCAGCAGACAGTGGTGGTCCAGGGACAGCACAAAACTATAAATCACAACTCCTGGTTCCGCCCTCTTGAGCGTAGCCGATTACGCTCAACCAAAAAGCAATTCTGCCAACATGTGTTTGCACATTTGTCTTCATCAGCCGCTGGCTTGTTTTGGGACCCTGTGACTGCATTTTTTTCTCCTGCGGTTATCAAACACGGACTACTTCTCAAGTGTTTGAGACAAAATCCACTATATCAGGCTCAACAATTAGCCACACTTGAGATGTAGCAAAAGCAGCAACATGAAACGGTGATGAGGATACTTTGTTTACTTAAAACAATTACGATGGAGTGAAAAAAGTCTAGAACAAAATACTTAAATTATAACATGTGGAACCTTCACCTTTGATAAAAGCTTTTTTTTTTTAAAGTGAGATGCTTCCAGGAGAAGTCTCTAAATCAAAGAGGTGGCAATAGCAAAGGTGTTAGAAAAGTAGGC